GCTGATGGTTAGATTCTGAAGCTATTCCATAAATGCCCCTTCTGGTGACAGAAATAATAATAGGAAAAGAGAATGTCATGCTCCACTAGAAACCCTTAGCAACTCTGATATCGGGACCTGGTATTTCTGCAAACTTTCTGTAACACTGAGCAGCCCCAAGAGGGAGGAAAAAGCTTAATGGAAGCCACTTTGTTTTTCCAAAGAAAGACAAGGCATCAAAGAGGTGGAGAAGAGGACCCCATGGAAGGAGGCAACACTGGCTTAGCTGAAATCAAACTCACGGCTGGAATGGATAAAATGGTGAAGCTCAGAGAAAACAGAAGTCAAGGATAGGTTTCATGGCAGAGGGCACCAAGATACAAAACAGCACAGACAAGAAGAGGCATCCACAGAAGACAGCAGAGAAACAGCCAAAATGTATTTAAGGCAGTTGCTAGTTACAATAACGATAAGTGCAGATACAGGGACTTCCTAAGGACACTGACTACATAGGTTCCATCAATTTCATGGAGGCTTGTGATGCTTCTGAGGGTGGAAATAGAAAGTAGCATAAATTAAGGAAGTAAGCATTAAATTGCTTTAATTACAAGTGTTGTACTAGTCATTTTCCACTATTGATAATAAACTGAGTATTTATCAACCATTTAAAATTCTAGGCTCCTACAAAATCAATCAAAAAATTCAGTTTACAGATCGGAAAATAAAAGAATTCCTATGACCCATGTGAAACTGAATTCCACCTATCTTTCTAACATGAATCTGTTACAAAGCTTAATTTATTCCTTGGTCTCTCTATTCTCCCTACCAATACAGTTTTTAGTCATACTGTACGGTATGCTGCAGCAAATTAAGGTATGTTTTTACTCTTTATCAAATTTAATACCCAACACCAAAAACCAATAAGGTCTTGCCCTTTCCATTAAATTTATTCCACAGAAGACAAGACTTGGCACACCTCAAGTACTCTAAGGATAAATCAAGTACTGGACTGGCTCCTGTCAAAACTAGAGAGCCCAGAGGGACATTGGACGAAGCTGCGACTAAATATCTCCAGCCACAATGTTAAATGGTAGATTTTTGTCACCAATTTTTTATTAAAAACAATGTCCTGGCTACAACTTCTAACCATGGTCCAACTGTGGCCAGCCACTGACTTGCAAATCTCTTGACACATGCGAGTTGTGAAAATGGCCAGGTCACTATGCTCCTATCTACTTAATTCCTCATGACAACCCGCATCTGTCTAAAACTTCTGAGAATGCCAGCTCTATGGAGAAGGACCCGCCCACTGCCCTACCCCCTACTCCCACTTCAGGAGGTGAATCCGGCTAGGCAGCTGGAGCCTAACTTCCACAGGAGAGAGCTGGCTAATCAGAGTCAACAGAACACACACGATGATTAGTCTGGAAAAGAATAGGTCTGAATTTATTCTGATATGGCATACACGTTTTATTCATAACACTTCTAATAAATATTAAATCAACAAGATTTTCAACTGTCTTTGCTGATAGTTAAAGCAATATTCAATACAGTTACAATAGCAAAAGAAATTCAAGCTTGTTTTCATCCAAATTTATATGTGCAGATATTTAATTCACATACTTATTTTTTAACTTGAAAAGCATTTTTAAATAAAAGGCATTATCCAGCAAATCACACATTAGATCATTATATTTATTTAATATATAAAAGCAAACATAATATTGGTAAGATAAATCACTCACGTATATTTTTTAAGTAGGTACTGAAGGACATCAATGTATTTCTCAACAAAAAATGCTGTATATACCTCAGGCTATAGCTTTACTAGCGAGGTTTAACTACAATCCAACAGACAATTAAAACACCATCCCTGTTTTCTTCCCTCGTAATATCTGAGTTAGAGGTCCACCCTAGCCTACACCATCACAGACACGATTTTACTTTCATAAACATATTTTGTTCACTTCTGATCTTTACCCAAATGCTACAGAAGTCAGAATGAATCAGAAACATTATCGGTGCTTGCTGAATGAGGAAAAACATGAGAAAGGAAGGAGGAAGGGAAGAAAAGAAGGCGCAAAGGAGGGAGGGCACTAGGGAGGGAGGATTCCAACATTAACATGGACATTATATGGGAAGTTACTTATTAGTACACAAGCCTTCGTTTTATTAGTAAAAATATGAGCACTCACACAAAGGCATTTTCAGTGCATCAGTTCTTAAAGGAAGGATTCCCAGACAAAGCCAAAATAAATTAATCTCCCAAATTAGCCCTCACCCATAGAAAGCATGGAGACAGGCGGCTGGTCTTAGCAATTCTTAGGAAAGTCATGCTGCTGTATTGCTTTTATGACACAATGGTAAGGAAGAAAAGGAAAATGGCTTATTAGTTTACTCTCCAAGAGGATTATTCTGGCATTAGATCAAGTAGTGTGTGGTGATGGCCTTGGCAGTAAGTGGTAAGGAGCAGGGGAAAGGAGCAGACACTAGAAATAAATCACTTTCTCTCTGAATGCTTCAAAATATATGGGAGCCATGCTAATAAGTCAAACGGACACTGTCACAATAATCAGGCAATCATAATGCAAGAAAAGTTACATCCAGACTTATGGATTAAAAACTTACCACCTAGAAAGGAATTTTATTTTAAAAATGAATCCACAGGGAAGAGATAAGAGAAACACATTTCACACAGTTAGTATTTATGATAGCAACCACACATTCAACAGATTTGTAATAGCATACATTGGAAATAAGGACAAAAAAACTAATACATTAAAAACTAAATATATGATTCTAAGAACACAGTACACACTTGTAAAACCAAAGCTAAGACAAATTATCACCAAAAATGTGATTCAGAAGACGATAGGGAGATATACTGTTATTTATAATTTTCCCTCTCTTATATCACTAATTTTCCTATTATAGCCAATTGTTAATCACATGTAATTGGCATAATTCTACAAAATTAAAATGCCTATTAACATAACCATATCTTTTACCCTAGGTACCAAAGAAATGCATGATGCTTTATCACATCTCCTTATGATTCCTCAAAATTATCTATAGATAGAACAAGAGCAAATGGACCAGACCCATGCTTCTGAAGCCTTGGGCTTCGAATACTAGAGAACCCACAGCTCCTTTGGACATCAAACATATTGAGTTATCTGAATAAACAGCAAACTCTCACCTTTGTTACTACACTTCAAAATTATTATGACTAATAAGGTATACGTTGATTTCAAAGTATTATTAAAGCCATATTAGCTTTTTTAAAAATGGAGAACCTAGTAGAAATGAATCCCACTAACAGAACAACCTCTCTAGAAAGTCTCTGAAGATTCTGAAACTTCCAACAAAACTGAGCTATTACTAGGTTCTTTTTCTTTAAAACTGTCATCTGTTGATGAGACTTCAAAACATATGATGTGAAGAGGAGCATTCATCTAGGAATCCCTGGGTTGAATAAAGTTGTATGTGGACAACTTAGCTCCTTGGGCCAGAACAGGTTAAGGAATTTAAGAGTGGAAGGGAAGGAAGGAGAGGGGTGTATACGTTATCACAAAACAGAGAAGACAGTCACGAATACGTGTTTGCCTGGTAATGAAAACAACAGAAGTCAGGACAATCTCGAGTAGTCACCCCCTTAACAAGATTCAAGACTTATGAATACACAGCATATTACAGCACTCCTCCCCAAGAATGTTCCCTGAAAATATCTATATTCTTAGTCTGTATAATCTCTGGACACATGCTACCTATACAGTGGAACCTCGGTTCACGTTCTTAATTGTTCTACGATTTTGGAAAAGATGGCTACGTTTGTGTTTGTGTGGGAAAGACGGCTGTGGTCATGCTTGTCAACCGAGGGAGAGTTCACAAACGAGAAAATTTTGCCAAATGCTCTGTCTGTGAACAAAACTGTTTGCAAACAAAACTGTTTGTGACTCAAGATACCACTGTACCACTAAATTACTCTAAATTTATCTGTTAGATCTTCCTCAAAAGGAACTTTTGAGTTTAGTATTTTGAGATACATGAAGACCGTGTTAGTATTAGAATTATGATTCTAGCACTACATCTCTTCTTTACTTGGCTACGGGAGGAAGCTTTTCTCCACCCCAGTGGTCTCAAAACAGCTAATTCAACTCAGTAGACCCACACAGCTCCATTTTGCCTATTTTTTTTTTTTTAATTTTAAAGAGGAGCACTGAAGTTTCAAATAAGGGAACTGCATGGCTTTTTAGAACAGGAGATTCTACCTAAAATACAATTAGCTGTTTTCATGTAACTTTGTAAACTGTAAGGTAGATTATATTATAGAAGATCAAGGGATTATATACTTACTCCTCAGTTACACAGAAACTTGATTTTTTTCTTCAAAATAAATGGATCTGTGACTATAAAATAATTTTTGTCCTAAATAAGTATATTCAAACAAAAAGATCACTCTCTAATGTGAATTTTTTAAGTAAACACTAAAATTTCACTCAGACAAAAGGCGAAGATTTATAATTATAAATTTAAGAAGCTTACTCTCTAAATAGATGAGAAGGTATTTAGATTATTTTGATATTGTGTTTTGTTTTAACTAGTTAAAAAAAACTAGATGAGCGGAGGGGTGGAGAAAAGGCTGGATTCTTATACTTAATTTTCACATCTAACATATTTTCTTTCCAACATCATATTTCAACCACTATCATGACTAGCCAAAAATTAAAGCAAAAACAAGTAAAACCTCTGTCTGCCATCTAGTGGACAAAGAAGATACAGAACATACACATTAGGGCTAAAACCACTAATGGCACCTAGAAAACAGGGTATACACAAAATTGTGCTCTGTCCCTGCATATAAGATAAAAAGGTATTTCAGTTTTTTAAAGACTTATGTTGATCTACCTGCTGTGGAAACTGTATAAAGAGTAAAAAGAAATGCATATGAACTCAAAAGCAAAGATCAGTCCTTGATACATTTATATTTTTATAAAACAGCCTCACAAAACTACACTTACATGGCCATGCAGATCAGTGTTCAGAAGCATCATGGCACAGGTCAGACAATGGACTCCATCTACAGACAGAAATATGGACAGCAAGCATTAATTCACTATCTAACACTGGGCTAAAACACAACTAGCCATATTTGTTTGGGGAGACAGAAAATAAATACATGTGAAAAATTTATCCAAAGGACCTCAGTGCAAAGAGTTGGAGTCTACTGTTAATAAATTGTTCTAAGGTCTCTACATATGTAATGTCAAATTGTCCCACAATGTCCTACCACAAAACAACTCTAGTTCCGAGACTGTACACTAAGGCAACAATTAGAGATCTATATAAAGTGCAAGGATATACAGAGAAACGTAACTTATAGCGACAGGCAAGTAAACACGACCCTCTAAAAACACAGTTCTGCTACATAGAAGCTATTTAAAATGCTGCCCGAGTACACATATTGAAATAGCTGACAATAAATTTTATACAAAACTACATTATATACAGTGTAATTCAATTTAAATATAACATCTAGAAAAATGTAAACCATGAAATTGAGATTTTTCTCAGTCACAAGACTAAAATTTCTGTTTTAATTTATGTATTCTCAATATTTTAATATACATGGTATAAAATGAAAAATATTTAATTTTGTTACATTTTTAACCTTCTAAGAGGCAAGTAAATTGAGAAGTGAAAGTTAAAGAAAATAAAAAATCGCAGCTTATTCTGATCTTTCCTGTCACTCATTCAAGGTAATAAATTTAGGTTGAATGGTTTTATCTAGGATACTACAACTCAAACCAAAGCAAAATATTAAACTCATGTGTGAAGACAAAAAATTAAAAGCTCCAGGGAAAAAGTTGCCCAAACAAGGAGGATTTTTTTTCTGCCTTTATAGAGTTTTTAAAAAAAAAAAACAGAGAGTTAGGTTACTCATGTCTGAAAATCAGAATTAGTTCTCTTTATTCTTTTCCTACTAATTTTCAATCTAAGTATAGTAGGCAATGGCGGTTTCAGATATAGAAATCTTAGTAATTTATGGTAAGTGTGCATACAAGACTATTCAGCTGCTGAATTCATAAATGAACAATTTTTTAAAGTACACTTCTTGATACAGTAGGCAATTTCTGTTGTCAGTGTCTCTAGGCACATGTTACCAAATATCTAAAAGTATATTTACTCCAGTTTCATTTCACTATCACAAATTCTACACATACTTAAATTCCTGAAATTATTATACAATTCATGAGCCAAATTCTCAAACATCCTCATCAATACTAGCTCAATACACATAAACTCATAGTTCATTAAAATCACAGATAAAAGTCAGTGGTCAGCATTCTTATAATTAATGTTTTAAAAAGCACCAAAGAGTTATGGTTTCCAGTAAGGTTTGTAAATGTTTCCAAAACAAACCACTGAACTAAACATACATGAATTTTCATCAAGAAGTATAGGAAAAAGGGATACAAGAGGAAGAAAAAAATATTTTTCTTTGTTGTTTGAGACAGGGTCTCACTGTGAGATTCACTCTGGCTTTGAACTTACTATGTAGCCCAGGCTGGCGTAGAACACACAACAATCCTCCTAATGTAGCCTGAAGACTGCTAGGATTACGGGTGTGTACCACCATGTCCATCAACAAATTCGTTTTCAATAATTAATTTACTATGGTGTGCTTCGTACATAAAATCTTCTAAAGACAAGCTGACCAACTTAAAGAAAATAACCTAGCATACTTTGGAACTGTAAAATAATTAAGAGTAAGAAATATGTCGTTATTAAATATGTTTTTAAGGGATACTTCATGACATGAGAAAATAAAATGGAAGGAAAAGACAGTAGCAAACAAATTTCCAATGATTCTAATGTGATATCAAATATTATGTAAATCCAAGTAAGTTAAAGTGTTAACTAATACTTATCTTTAGGTAATTAGAGGTTTAAGATGATCTTCATATTCCTCTATAATTTCCTATATTTTCACAATAAAATATAATTTTCAAAATAAGGAAATAAACCATTGTTATAAAAAAGAAATTCAAGAATTTCTATCAGATTACCTTGTGAAGCAATGGTATCTGGGTTACAATAAAAATATCTATTGGAGAAATGTATTAAAACTCTCTCTCGTTCTTGAGTTTCTCCCACAAGAGCAAATGCTTTAAAGAAATACCTAAAAAAAGAATTAAGGAGGAAAATAACATTTTAGGAAATTTACCACCTTTATAAATTTGTCAATTAATTTATATAAATTTAAGATATTATAGTTACTACCCCCCCCAAAAAAACACTCAATATCAATTTATTTTAAAGTTTAAATTTTATAAAATGTAATATAAAAAGTGAGAGAATAATAATAGAGCAGACAATATTAAGAAAGCCTGGGGAAGTTAGGTAATTTTATCATGACTAAATGCCCAGTAACCAGCTTTAAAAGGTCAGATTAAAAAAAAAAACCTTCAGGTTTAATGCATGCTCATAAAAGCTGTTTTGAAACTCTACATACAGAAGTGTTCTTTTATCATTTTGTTACGTGGTAATCTCCACTGACCAATATTAAAATTACAATTATGTCACCATGAACATATATTCTGGGTATTTTATTTTACCTACATAATATTGCATTATTAACTTGTTATACAAGAAGGAAATTGGGAAAAGTAAATTTCTCCTTTCTATTATGGAATAAACGATGTATAGGATTTCTTGTAATAATAGTAAATAGGCCCAGAACCACACACCACTCTAAATCAGAGACAGTAAGAGTATTATTTAGCATGAATTAATCCAGATGACCCTCATTTGATAATGTGTACATGCCCTAGTTCTGTACTGGTAAGGGGAAAAACTCATTTCAAGTATTCTAAGAAATCCATATAATTATCTTATTGCTATGGAAATTGTTTTCTTCCTTAGCCTAAATTATACTGCTCACATTACTTTTTCATAACTTGTTAAAAACCACATCAATACACACAGCAAAAACAGAGATCTTTCCCTCACTCTTGGCTATTTTCCTTAGAAATCCAATGCATAGCTTTGATTCACAGAAAGAGCCACCATAACCCAATCAGCTCCACTCCATCTGCCAGGCCTCAGATTCCTGATTTGTACAACTGAAGAATTATACCAGAAGACCTCAGAACACTTCTAGGCTCTGATATTTCACACACAGTTTAAACCTGCTGTCCAGGTTTTACCTTCAGCAACTTGCAGGCGTGCATATAGTACAATACAATGTGAAAAGTGGTTATGAATGCACTTTAGGCAACTTCATTTAAGACAGTCAACAAAAAGCAGGTATTGTTCGAATTTTACAGACACTTTCTGCTGATTACTATATTGATAATCATGTTTATTCCACTCAAGCATTGATTCCAAAATATCTTAAAAGACTACTTAGCGATTATAAGCAACCCCTTAGGAAAACATCTAGAATTTTGCAATCTACGCTGTCTTGTTTTTCTTAGCTAATCATTCAAAACTCAATCACCCTATTCAAAAAAATTAAAAGGAGGGTTCCCAAAAGTTATCTGTACACTTATATCTACAACAGCATTATTTATAGCTTATAAAATGTGGAAGCAATCTGTGTCTTACTAAGATAATGGTGGTATGTCCATATAATACAATATTACTCAGCCTTAAAAAGGAAATAAAGAAATCCTGCAATATGTCACAGCATAGATGAACTTGAAGGCTACTGTATACTAACCAAAAGCAGTCACAAAAAGATGGATACTGTATAATTCCAACTATGTAATGTAAACTCAGGGTAATCAAAAGCATTGAGATGGAAAATAGAACAATGGCTTCAAAGGACTGGTAAATGAAGAAATGAGGTGTTATTGTTTATTGCATAAAGAGTTTCAGTTTTATAAGATGAAAAGAATTATAGAAATGGATGGTGGTGATGAATGCAAACATAATGAATGTATTTAATACCACTGACTGTACACTCAAAATGGCTAAGATAGCAAAGACCGTTACTGCAATAAAAAAACTGAAAGGAAAACTCTCAAAAAGAATCCATTCTTTCTCCAGATTTGCTGCGCCATCATTCTTTGCTCTGCCATCTGGACGGAGGTTTACCATTAGATGAGGATGAGTTGATGTGTTATTTCATTAAAAAATCCATTTATTTTTCTCTGCTATGCTTAGTATCCATGACACAATCTAAAGTCACATAGTCAACCGAGCAGGTTAAAAAAATAAAAATGGAGTTTAGTTAAACTCTAACACTTTCTTTTGTAAGAATTCATTATTTGGCGCAACAAAGAGTAGAAGTAATGTTTAATCATACCTGAGAGACTGGTCTAGCGTCATTCCTGTAAAATCAAAAAACTTCAGATATTCCTCTGCAACTAGTCTGCTAAATTCATTGCTATAAGAAAACAGAACAGACTTGGTTGTTGAATTGAAAATTTAAAATGCACACACACACACACACGCACACGCACACACACACACAGTAAACTCAGAAAGCCATTAGTCTCGCGTTAAAACGTACTTCTTGCCCAGGTGTTTGGCGACATCGGATCTTTTGAATCTGTCCAGTTGATAAAGGCGTTTGGCCAGTCTTTTAGCGGCTTCCACGTTGCTGCTGGTACCGTTACTGAGACTTTCTGCGGTCTCTTTTTCCAGAATGTGAGTACTCCCCATTTCAGAACAATCCTCTAGCTGCGTGTTTTTCACCCCAGCATTGCTATAAAATTTGATTAAAAAAAGAAGATATAAAAATGGAAAAAAATATTTTTTTATATAGCACAAGGGGAAAGAGCTGAATAAATTATCTTGACACTAGAGAATTAAATGAAAACTTCTCAATGAAATTATATTATGCTTCAATAATCATAAAAATATTTTCAGGTACTCTATTTCAAAAACTAAGAAGGCAAATGCCCCTGTCTTAGACAAGTAGCTTTCAAACTCTTTGGTATCAGAACCTTTACATTCTAAAAGTAGGGAGGAATCAAAAGAGCTTCTATTTATATGGGCTAAAGACAGGTACCCTAATTGACAGGTACAGCAATTGAAACAAAAATTTTTAATATATATTGTTTAAAATAATAAACCAATCTCCTGTGATCCATCCTATTTTATTAAAACATAACCATTCAAAACAATATAAAGTCCAGTGAGACAACAGTGGTTTACATTTCTCACAAATTTCTTTAATGGCTGACTTAAAAGGAAAACTGAGTACATTCACTTTGCGACAGTATGTTATTCTGGATAGAGTACATTAAGGAAATTTGGCCTCTTGCAGATATTCAGTTACAGAAAGGAAGAGTATTCTTAGATAACTATATATATTCTTTTTTGACAAAACATGAAGATAATACAAATGGTAGTTTCTTAAAAGTTAACTGCAATATAGAAACTAGTTCTAGGTCCAGGGATTTAGCTCAGCAGTTCAGTGGCCTGCCTTGCAAGCACAAGGACCCAAGTTCAATCCCCGGTACCAAAAAAAAAAATAGAAACTAGTTCTGGTAAAGTGGCTTTTGTACTTGTGTAGAGTATTCTTAGATAACTATATATATTCTTTTTTGACAAAACATGAAGATAATACAAATGGTAGTTTCTTAAAAGTTAACTGCAATATAGAAACTAGTTCTAGGTCCAGGGATTTAGCTCAGCAGTTCAGTGGCCTGCCTTGCAAGCACAAGGACCCAAGTTCAATCCCCGGTACCAAAAAAAAAATAGAAACTAGTTCTGGTAAAGTGGCTTTTGTACTTGTACTCTAATATCCATACTATACTTTGAGCAGACCTTTTAACTATGTGTACCCATTTCCTGGTACCATGCACTGGGTATTGGTCTTGACACATTTCATTACACAATATTAGAAAAATCATTCATTAATGTCACCGTCATCAATTCCAGAAGCGTCTGTACACATAGGGAAGCTGTTGAACTTTTTTGGATTTTTTTTTGTTTTGTTTTGTTCTGTTTTTGACACAAGGTCTCACTATGTAGTTGAGACTGACCTGGAACTCACTATGTAGTCCAGGCTGGTCTTGAACTCGCAGCAATCCTCCTGCCTCAGCCTCCTGAGTGCTGGGATTACAGGCATGAGCCACCACACCCAGTTGCTGTCAAACTTTTGATGGTACACAAACTTTGAATTTTTGACCAAAAGCTTAATTTAACCACTGGCTGCAAATCTGCCAGCATTTTCTGTAAAGTAATAGGCGCTGTCTCTACGCTTTTAAGAAAATGTTGTCAAAAACCATTGTTTGTGAGTGTACTTCTCGGGAAAAAGTGACTTTCTCAGAAAATGTGGCGAGTGTATGGCCCCAACTCCAGTGACACAGGTGTGCTTTCCTGAGGACAACGAACAGGAGGAAAAGTGCTTTATTCCCATTTTATCATGCATGACACTAAAAAGAATGGAGGTGTTGAAATATAACAAAATTAACTTGTACTGGGCATTTCTAGGTGAAACTGTCCTTCATTTTCATGTGACTGCATGACATTGGCAAAATGCAGCAAGGACAGGAAATTTGGTGTCACTGCCTTGATTTCTGCTATGACCTGACTGTTGCTTTCACGCCACACAACATTGACACCATGAAAAAAAAAAAAAAAACAGCGTTGCCCTCACAAATCTACTAAGGGGAAGAAGCCCCACAGGCCGCCTTTGAGAAGCTGTGCTCTAAACAGAGTTTACAACCTATAGCCTGTGGCCTACTACAACCATTACCTTATGACAACACTAAAAAAGATGAGGAAACCGGGATTTCCAAATCTTCATTTTTCACTCGGTGACAAAGATGTGTTCATGACAAAATAAATTTCTAACACAATTACTAGAGTTTAAATCTGGACAGTCGGAATTTTATGTAGGGAACCACAGAGTAAATATTTTCAACTTGCAGGCTGTACAAGGTCTCCACAACATATTCTGCTTTGTTGTTTTGTTACAACTTTTAAAATATAAAAGCTACTCCAGGCTCAGCTGAATCGGGCCCTTTCTCTGTCCCTTAGTTCTTTAACTGAGTTTACAGAATAAATAGAGCGATACCTTACACTGTCTAAATTAGGAAACCCTTCTTCATTGTTGCTGGGAGTGCAGACTGGTGCAACCACTATGGAAATCAATATGGAGAAACCTCAAACAACGTGGACTGGACGTCCCATTTGACCCAGCTATTACCCTGCTGGGTGTCTTCCCAAAAGAATTAAAAGAATCATACCACAGTGGTATATGCTCACCCATGTTTATAGCAACACAGTTTGTAACAGCTAAAATTGGAAACAGCCGAATTGCCCATCAACTGCAGACAGAATAAAAAAAGATGTGTTTTTTTATATAAAATGGAGTACTACTCAGCCATAAAGAATAATAAACTAGGGCCAGGGATCTGGCTCAGTGCTTCTGCCGCCTGCCATGCAAGCGAAAGGACCCAAGTTTGATCAGTAGTACCAAAAAAAAAAAAAAAGTAAGAGAGAGAGAGAAAGAGAATGGTAAACTAGAGATATTTATAGCTAAGTGGATGTGCATTGATGCCATACTCTTAAGTGAAATTAATGTCACACATGTGTAAATACCAAATAGTTTCTCTGGTATGAAAAACTAAAAGTGTAAATAAGGATCAAAATACATAAGTGATGTTGTAATAATAAGAAGAAAAGATCTAAAAGAGTACAGGAAGTGGGAGGGGTAGGGGAAAGGTAAAAATGGAAAAGAAAAAATATGAAAAGGAAAAACGTGGAAAAAATGTCTTTGTAAACAGGGAAGGGTGGAGGGGCTGAAGGGCAGGCTGGGCAAAGGGGAAAAATAAGAACCAAGATAAGTCATGGAAAGGTACAGGATCCCAGTGATGAATGTAAATGTATTGTATACCTAAAATGTACCAATAAACATAATAAAGATTAAAAATAAATAAATTATGTTGAAGGCCAAAAAATTAGGAAACTCTGAAGAAGGAAGACAGATATAAAGTTATTAAGTATGTAATTATAATTGTTACAAAATAAAAAGGATTATCAATCTAAAAATAGCATTGCTAATGGGGACAGAGCTTCTTTTCCGGTTGGTAGTGTCATTAAGGTAAATAATAACACTAAACAACACCAGCTGTACTAAAACCACTGCAGTTTATACACTAAAAAGGTAATTATGTAATATGTGAGTGACTGGTTGTTTAAAAATTTGAAATAGAAAACTAAGTTATAATTCTTTTGGAAAGATACCCAGCAAAGGGATGGCTGGGTCAAATGGAACCTCTAGTCCCAGCTCTTTGAGGTATCTCCATATTGATTTCCAAAAGAATTAAAGGAATCATAGCACAGTGATGTATGCACATCCATGTTTATAGCGGCAGTTTGTAATAGCTAAATCTTGGAAACAGCCCATTTGCCCATCAGTTGGAAATTGGATAAAGAAGATGTGTTTTTTCTATAAAATGGAATACTATTCAGCCATAAAGAGTGAGAAATTAGATTCATTCACAGGAAAATGGATACATATTGAGGATATACTCCTAAGTGAAATAAGTAAGTCACACGTGTAAATACCGAATAGTTTCTCTGGTGTGAAAAACTATAATAGTACATAAGATCCTAATGAGATAATTGACAATGTGAACTAGGAATAAAAGGGCTAACGATGTAGGGGAAGTGGGAAGGGTAGGGAAAGGGAATAAGTGAAAAGAAAAAAAATATGAGAAAATGAAAAGATGGAAATAAAGTGTCTGTAAATGGGGAAGGGAGGAAGCGTGAAGGGAGGGCAGGGCCAAGGGGAAAAAATAAGAACCAAGACCTGTCATGTAAAGGTACAAGATCCCAATGATGAATGTAACTGTACTGTATACCTAAAATGTACCAGTAAACTCAATAAAAGAAAAAAAAGAGCATTAAAAAGAGAAAACTAAGTTATAAATGTATACATCATGCAACAATGACAAAGACCACTATAGTAAGGCAGACGCATCTGTAAACAGCCTGCTCAGTATCTCGTCACTTAGTCCACTTTCCATTTTCTGCGGTGGCTGGGCAGCTTCACTGGATCAGCTGGGGCACCAAGGAGCTGCAAAGAACTCACTTCCCACCCACCGCGGACCAGCCGGCACCGACTGGCCCTGGCCCTGCCCTGCGCGCACACTTCATAAGCAGGAAGCCGCGATAGTCAGGGAGGGGGTCGGGGCTCCCAGAGCGCCTTTTAGATTCAACCATGGGCAAAGGCTCCACGCCAGCTCGCACATTCCCAGTGAGAGCATGAGAGGAGCTCAGAGGACACAGCGGATGCCGACCAATCCCGTGCTGCTGTACTGACCGGAACCACGTCAATGTCAGAACAACCGGCATAAACTGGAACAGACCCAGGCAAACTAGAAGGTGTAGCCCTCGTTAACCAGAAAGCACCCTCATTTTCCAAGACAAACCCCCACACACACCTCTCTCGGAAAATCAAGGTGGCTTACTGGTGAAGGGGGGTTATACCTCCAAGAGAAAGTATCTACCAATTGCAATAAATTGCTTCATTATGATGAAATCTTCATGAAAATGCATTTAAATATATTTCTCCATCCTGAACCTACCTTTCTAAAGTTAACATTACTGTGCAGTTTGTGAAAAATTGAGTACATATTAATGTCTGCATACCTGTAACACGTAAATGCACGGTAATTTCATTTCAAGAGCAATTCATTTTGTTTTCCCACATAAGTGCTGGGATGTAAAATATTTACTCCTTGAATT